CATACATACACTGTAAAACAAAAGCAAAAACACCGCTCAAAAACACTTTTAACACAGATAGTATTTTTTGTTATAAACTTTTGAGATATCCTTTTTGAAATTTATATATACTAACACATGTATGTACATATGTATGTTTGTGAGTGTGAAAGATATTTCTTTGTATGCGCAGTTCATATGTCCATATTAAAGTAGTGTCCACTTTTAGTTCTTTCCCTAAATTTTTGTTGTTGTTGAAATCAAATAACAACAACAGTAATGACAAACACTTTTATATTATTTATTATTATTTTTATTACTATACGGTTAGACAATATTTTCATTTATTCTCTAATATGACATGTAAAAAATAAAAGTTATTTTGACAAACGTAATTTTATTAATTTGTTCTCAATTGTCAAATAACGATCATAAATCAGAAGATTTAAAGACTGTCAATTTATTTATTATTTCTTATGTGACCACGTTATTTTTCTATTATGAAGAAGTTTTGCAAATTTTTTTTAGTAATTTACTATAATAAAATTAAATAATAGACCTGCAGTATCCATATTCATACAAATTATAAAGGTTATTGGTATTTTCTGAATGCGTCCTTATATGTATGTAGGTATAACAACAAAATTCCTTCCTTAGCTCTCTAATTTATCTACAAACAGCGTTTCAAGTATGGACAAGTGAAAATAATTACTATTTCAGATTCAGTTTATATTATATTTTTACGATTTAGTATTGTGCGGTTGGAATGTTTGGACTTAATCCGATTTTCTTCAGAAATAAGTAATTTATTTTTCAGCGGCTAAAAATTTCATTTATTAAGAACTATTACTTCGTATATTCAATATTTTTACATTAAAATGCTTTGAAATTAAACAATTACAAAAGTGGACTTAATCCTTTTAGTTTGTGAATCCTAGCAAATGTATAGGTTTAATCTGAAGTTTATAATTGCAGTCATTCAGGTGGAGAAATATTGAGAACTTAACTGTATTTGGAAAATTGCTTGCATGCTGGAGATTCCTAAAACGGAATGAAAATGGTCGATTGGATCTTTGATTTCAACAAGTATAAGACTTACTCCCATTATCTCAATGTCTGATTATTTTTTATCGAAACGATAGATTGACAGTTTTTATAAAAAAATATGGCGTCATGAAATAACTGCCCAAAATAAAAATGAAATAACTCCCTAAAAATTTGTTCAGAAAGCAAAAACAACGAAATTTAGGAATTTAATTATTTTTTGGGGCATTATTTCAAATTTAAAATGGGGAATTTTTTCATAATGAAATAATTCCTCAAAATTCAAAAATAAAATAAGTCCCTAAAAATATTTTTGGGGAGTTATTTCATTATATTACTTTTGTCACACGAAATAAAAAATAAATGTCTGATAGACGGCCTTCGGCCGGGCGCAAGGGTTTTATCCTCTGGGGTACATTGTATACCGGCTTTGCTAAGAATACACTCTCCCTGTATCAAAAGTGTTCGGTCTTAGGCCGGCTATTTACGAAATCTTTACTAAGCGAAGCCGGTGTTGGCCATATTATAGAGTGGTAAATCCTTGCGTCCGGCCGTAGGCCGGTTATTTAGAAAATATTTATTAAGCGAAACCGTCGTTGGATATACCATAGAGTAGAAAGTTCTTGTGCCCGGCCGCAGGCCGGCTATTAAGGGAATCTTTATTAAGCGATTAAACTGAAATGTATTAAACTTTGAAGCCCCACTCGAAAGTATGAGCGACCTACTTTTTTTAGAAATGTCTCTAAATCCGACTTGTTCCATAATTTGTTATTTTCAAATGGGAACTAATTTCATTTTAAAATTAGGGATTTGTTTCATATGAAATAAATCCCCAAAAATGGGGTGTTATTTTATTTTAATTTAGAAAGTTATTTCATTTCGTTAGGGCTTTTTTTCATTTTTAAATTGGGGAATTATTTCATAATGAAATAAGTTCTCAAATTTGAGGACGAATTATTTTGCCTCTTAGCACTGTTTTCCTCTTTCTTAATTTGTTCAACAATGCACCCACTATAGTTTGCAGATATATTTGGATATTTGGTCATGAAATAACTCTTCAAAACAAAAATGAAATAACTCCCCAAAAACCTAAAATAAGCGATTAATATCTTTATGAATACTGGGGAAAATATTTATATACAGCCAAACCCGATAACGAACTCGGTTATAACGAATTCTCAGTTATTACTAAACTAAACTTCAAGTCCAGATGTTCTAGAAACTATACGACACGGTTGTAGACCTCATTCGATACTCGCAACGGAATTTGGGGAGTTATTTCATAATTAAATTATTCGTCAAAATCAAAACTGAAATAAATTCCTAAAAAATATGTTTGCGGAGTTATTTCATTAACAGAAACAATATGTTTAATAGATGGCCTTTGGCCGGACGCAATTATTTTTTCCTCTAGTGTATATTGATTACAGACTTCGCATTTAATTTACTCTCCGCATATCAAGAGCGTCCGGTCGAAGGCCCGCAGTTTAGGACATATTTACTAAAAGAAGCTGTTGTTCGAAATACCGTAGAGTAGAAATTGTCGGCCGTAGGCCTTCTATTTAAGTGAAGGCAATTAAGTGAAAAAAATTTAGTCCATAGCCTGCATTACATAGGACCATGTTGCGGGTCATGTACTTTCATAATTTCAGTAAGGGACTAGTTTTGGATTATTCCGATGTAATGCATTAATGGATTACGTGGTCCTTGGTCCTCAATGTTAAATGTAGTATGTTTTTTTCGACATATTTGGATTAGTGTTGGACCAGTCCTAGTCCTTTAAGTAGGACGCGTTTGCGGAGTAGTCATTACCATTGTAAATAGCGAGCATCTTTTATTAACTAATTTATTAAACTCTATTAGCTACAATGTGACAAGTTTTATTCTTCATACAAAACAAAAACACCATTATAAATCAATAAAACTCGCCAAAAAATATGTTTTTTTTTAATATTATTTTGTTAAACATTTTTTCATAGTAAAAAAAATCAAACAGGTGCACCAAATGAATTTAATTTTATTAAACCACTTGTGGTTTAAACGAAAACACGACAATTGCCATAAAAAAACAACTAAAATGAATTTAAAGGACGGAAGGAAGGAAGGAAAACATTTTAAGGGAAATTAAACCATATGTTGAAAATATTTAACTAAAACGAATACATGAACATTTATACACCACGTAACTCTGATTATTTACCGTCGTTAACCGGAAACGTATAAGTGTAATTTAAATTGAATTATACTTCATTAAGGGTGGACGAAGGCGCTTTTCGTGAGGAATAAAGAAAAACCTGAAAAGGAAATTTTTATAGAGTGTGTGTATTTTAGGAGTAAACTAGTTTTGAAAAGAACCAGTTTTAACGCCAGTTTAATGAACTAACATAAAAACAATTACAAATCATCTTTTAATCAGACGATTCCTTAACGAGATTGTAAACAATCGTGTGCTCTGCCGGTTCCATCATAATCATTATACACAATGAAGGACGATGGTTGGTTTTTTTCTTAATTTATTTTTTTGTTTATTTCATGTTAACTCCTTCATTAACGTAATTATAATTTGAATTACCAGTTATTACAGTTACAATTATTACTGCTGTTGTTGTTACTTTTTTAGTTATTGGAAAAATTTAGTCTCATTCTAGTATCATGTGGAAGTAACACCCCAAATAAATAACTACCACCACAGCAAGTACCGACGCTATAGCCAAACTGTGTTGTTCGAGGTTGATTTGGTTGGGTTTTGGCTGGCTGGTTGGCTGACAACGGCGACGATACGAAAAATGTTCTCTAGTTAATTTTATTGTTATTTTAATTGAAAATTTGACAGTTTGGCTAATAAAAAAGAATGAGCTTCGTTTGGCGTTTGTTAGCTTTCGATTGTTTTTTTTTTATTTTAATAAAATTAAAATAATATTACGGCACATATCTTCATACATTCATTCATCCTTCCTTCCTGCCCTCCATTCCCTTTCAACGTTTATTCGTTACATTCTGTGATGAAGGTAACGTGTTGTTTGCCTTCTGGGAAATGGACACGTGACGGTCGTTCGCCAGGTAAGTAGTATATTTATGATTCGTGTCTATAATTGTAATTGTTGTTGTACACTTGAATTGTATAGTTTGTTGTGAAATCAAGGGGTTTAGAAAACTTATTGGAAGTTGATTGTAATCAAATTGCACAACCTGTTTTCTGGAGACAATCACACGAAGAAAACCATAACGGAACGTAATGTCTACAAGTGCGCGTGTTAGACTATAAGTGTAGGAGTGTGTATGTACTCCTGAACCACCACACATATACATACATATGTTAATACATACAGACATATAAAACTAATTTCCCAGTTCCGGCGCTACAAGTACAAAATCATAAATTATATGGTATATGTTGTATATAAGACAGGCTCTTAAAAAATTATCTTAAAATTTTAAGACAAGTGGATTGTTCCAACTGTAAGCGAAATAAAATAACCGGGAAGAAACCCACATAAATTCATAAGGCATGGATTACAAAACATCATCAAGAGTAATAGAAAAAATTGTTCTCAAAATAAACATTTAACAAATTTATTTTTTAGGATCATGCCTAATATTGGTTGGTAACATGAAAATTTCTAGTGGTGTGGCTGAATGATGATGTTAAAATTTTCACTTGCAACATTATAAGAAATACATGTGTGTCTATATATGAATAAGTATAGAAAACCACATGTAGTTTGTAGCTAAATTATTGTATAGTCATGTCTTTCAATTGACTCAGGTGTACTGTACAATAAATTTGGAAAAAGATATATTATTTCATAATTTCAATTTATGTACGTACATTCATATGTATGAAATTAGGGTGCAGGATTGATTATTGTTACACTTAATATAAAAATCAAAAAAATTTATATCCTGTGATTATTGTAAAAATTTTGTTTTCAAAACAAAATTTGCAAAACTAATTTCATATCCATTTCAAAACTTACCTGTAACGGTCTTTGTGGAGGTCCGCCCATACTGTGATGATGGTACATAACATCGTGTTTCATTTGGGAGGTCATCTGTGAAGGATGTACATGAGAGGCTTGATGTTTTCCAATGTCAACTGCCGCAAGTGCTTCCGCTCTGCTAAGAATTCCATCATTGATTCCAGCAAATATATCACCCTAAAATAATAAGCCATAAATATGTAATAAATAAAAAACAAATGTGTTTTATATATCCTATACATCCCTATCATGCATTTGTGCTGATGTTTGTAAAGCACAAAATATTCTTCCTATCTGGTTCGATTCTAAACCGAAAGGTTTAGCGGTATCTCGAATACCAACTTTGTGAAATTTAGCTTTTTTTGATATAGCGACTGTTTGTATCATGCGAAGCTTTTGGGACATGGACATTATGACTACAAACAAAAAAGTGAAGCATACTAGTGTCTCTGGTGGGAATCGAACTCACAACCCCCAGGCTGATAAGACACGGTTCACACACTGCATCAGTTGCGCAACTTTTTGATTTTGAATGAGAGAGAATAAAGAAGAATGATATTTCTATAGCCTTCTATCTTCCACAAATTCCTCTAAGCTAGCACACTACCAACTAGCCTACCGGGGCTTCCAAATCATGAGAGATTTTTTTTTATTTAAAAAAATGTTGTAAATTGACTTTTTGCAAATATATTGCCGGCTCGATTTGCGCAACCGAAAGGAAATTGGGATTTTTACAATTTTCGAAATGTTGCAATAAGCGAAGACTAATTTCTTATTTAATTTTTAATAAAAACATTCACTTGAAATGAGTTTTAAGTCATAAACTCATCAATTTTAAATGAAGTTTCTGGTTAAAAAAAGAAAAAAGTTGCTGCCTATAAAGACTGCAATGTTAAAAAAAGGCTGTTGCACAAATCGGCCAATTGCAATAAAAGTTAGTTGCGCAAATCGAGCCAGCACTGTATATTATTTCTTTTAATTTAATTAACACTTTTATTTATAAATAACTAGATTTTTGTAACCGGCGCACAGTGGTATAGGAAAAAAAAAGAGGGAAATAATTCGGTAACTTCTAAACGGTTAATCCGATTTTAATGAAATTTGGTATGCACAAAGAGGAGGTGTTGTCGAGTTTAGGTTTTGAATTTGGACCTTATAGGCCAACCAGGGGCCCGGCGGGGGGTCCTCAAATTAGGACACCTCGGCTATGTTAAATTTTTAAAACGATCCTATTTCTTCATTTGAGTTCCGATTTAAAAAAAATTTCGTATATAGAATCTCCTCATCGAGCACTATAAAAAATGTCGTCATAGCAGTAAATTATCTCTTATAGTTTAGGAGATATTCGCATTTGAAAATTAAAATTTTAAAATTTTTACCGTTCTTACTTTAGTTTTTTGATAATAGCGGGTCCAAATATTCCCGATTTTCGCCATTTCTTTTTTTATTCGCTTAACAACAAGTTTATATATCAAGCAGTGAAAGAATTATGTAAAAATCATGACTGAGTCCAAAGTTATAGGCATTTTAATTTAAAAAATTAAAAAAAGGCGATTTTTTGCCATTTTTTTGGGAAAAAAGTATCTTTTTCTTTTTAAGTTATCTAAAAAGTTTCTAAGAAGATGTATATAGAATTTATACTTTTTGAAAAGCTGACTTTACATAAAATACGATAAATGAAACAAAACCTAAAAATTTTTGATACCGAGGGGACCAGGTCCATCCAAAAAACCCTATTTTTTTATAGAAAATTCAATTTTGAGCAAAAATTCTCAAATCGCATAGTCGATATCAAATTATAGTGACCTGTTTTATATGACCCAATATGTTCTTAATCATTTTGTAACGGGTTTCGATAACCCCGCCCCTGGTATGGATATAATAGGCAAAAAACCAAAAAATCCCATTTTTGGGATTTTTTAAAACTTTTTTGGGAATTCCGGGATTTCTAATAAGAAAATTCGAACTTTTTATTTAATTTTAGATTTTGAGTAAAAAAATCTACCTAACTGTAAAATTTCATCAAAAAATATTCATAAATAAAATTTTTATTGCAATTTGAAAAATTTGTATCTGCGCAAAAAACTGAATAAAAAACATTTTTTAATTTTTTTAAAAAAAGTATTCCGCGAATTTTTTAATTTTCAAAAATTATATACAGTTTTGAAAAATAGACAAAATTACCTTTCCATTGATATATAACATGCCTACCTAATGTTTTTTAAGTGACAAATTAATTAGGGAAAACTCAACATCTTTTAGAAAATTTACCTAGCACTATTATTTTCATCCATAACGTTAACTCTTAAATTTGTTACATATATTAAAAAATTTTCAGGTATTATTTTTTAAACTGTAATGATTTTTACCCCTATAGGTCACTTTAATAGGTAGCTTATTAAAGTGACCTATTGAGGAAAAATTCATTACATAAGGATACGTTAGACATATTAGGTAGAATATCATAACCCTTTAAAAAATAATTTAATTTAAGTACCTGTAATTAATATATAAGACAGGTTTATATCTGTTTGTAATTATTTGTAATTTTCTAACCATGCCGATCGTACTAAAAAAAAATGATTTGTGCTCCATTTTATTTGAACACTCTTCAGCTCCTTTTCAAGATAAAGTGAACTTCTTATTGAAATATATTGAAACTGCACATAAAAATAAAGTGGATAAAACTGATATATGTAAAATTGAAAATTTTATAAAATCAGTTGATATAAAACTGAAGAGTGTTCGGTATTCCATTGCTAAATTTCGATCGAAATTTTCTGATTGGCTGGATGAATGTGTAGAAGTTGCTATTTGCGTATCAACTGTTGGTGCTCCCTGTAAGCAGTATGAGGATTTGAGCTCAAAATCTAAGAGGAAAAGGTTATCAACTTCACTAGAAACCTTATCTAACGAAGAAGTTTCGGACACTTTTAAAGCAATGTTAAGAAAAGAAAAACAGCCTTTGGATGCCATAAAAATTGCAAATATTCTTCCAACCGCATCACCAAGACGACTGAAAAGAATTGTAAAGAGTATACCCACACCATCATCTGATACAACGTTCACTGAGGAAGAAGCTATTGCGCTTATGTTGCAGCTGGGATTAAGTCGTGATAACTACATAACGTTAAGAAAGGCGCTATCTGAAAAAGGAGTGGATGTTTTACCATCATATGACAAAATAAATGAAAAGAAGAAAAGCATTATACCACCTCCTATTGAAATAACTGATCGGAAGGCTGTTATTGGACTCGGCGCTCTACTCGAAAATACTGCTTTAAGGATTGCTTCTGACTTTTCTTCAGACCAACTAAAAAAAATAAATTCTTGTGATCTTCAACTCATTTGTAAGTGGGGATGTGATGGATTATCAGCACTCTCGTAATATAAACAAATCAACACAAGTGAATCATCTTCCGAGTATAAAAGTGTATTTATGGCATCGCTAGTTCCATTAAGAATTCGAAAGTATGCTGACAGCGATTCTCCATCAACCAGTTTCGATGATATTTGGAAGAATTCGACTCCAGGATCCAAAGCTTTTTGTAGGCCAATAAGCTTTGAGTATATAAAGGAATCCAAAACAACAACGCAAGATTTGATAAATCGTATTGAAGCAGAAATTAAAAACTTGGAACCTATAACAATCGAAATAGAAAATTATTCGTTTAACATGTCCTATGATTTAAAACTTACAATGATTGATGGGAAAGTTGGAAATGCCATTACAGGAACATCATCTACTTGGTACTGCTACATATGTGGTGATAAAAAATCAGAATTTTCGAATATTTCCAAGCAAAGATCAATAAATGAGGAAACATTACAATTTGGAATATCCCCCCTACATGCTCGCATACGATTTCTGGAACATTTTCTACATTTAGCATATGATTTAAAGTACAGAAGCATACCGGAAAATGCAAACAAAAGTGCAAATAACAATAAGGAGTTAATGGAAATGAGAGCCAGTGAGAAACGAAGAATTCAAGAGGAATTTAAAAAGCGGATGGGATTAAATATTGATAAACCACTCACAGGATATGGAAGCACAAACGATGGTAATACCGCTAGACGTTTTTTTAAACATTTTGAAACTACTTCCGAAATAACCGGAATTAGTATGGATTTACTGCAAAAGGTCAATATTATTCTAATGGCGATAAATAGCAAGCATAAAGTGAACGCAACAAAATTTGGAGAGTATTCTACAAAAGTTTCTAAATTACTTTTGGAATTATATCCCTGGAAAGAAATGACACCTACAGTTCACAAGATATTATGTCATGGAAAGGTCATCATAGAACATAATATTCTGCCTTTAGGAGAGCTTACAGAAGAACCCCAAGAATCGAGGAATAGAGACTTTAAGCATATTCATCAGTTTAGCTCAAGGAAGTGTTCTAGGCAGTCTCAAAATGAAGATATTTTTAATAATCTGATTCTATCTTCTGATCCTGTTTTATCTACTATAAGGAAACGTTGGATTTGCTACAAAACGTTAGCATTTGAAAATATTCATGAATTTAAAGATTTACTTTATCTTTTAGATATGGACTACTGTGATACCGATTATTTTACAAAATTATATTAATTTATAAAAAAAAAAATAAATAAAGACTATTTTTATATAAAATAAATACTTGTTAATTTTTTTTAGGGATAAAGAATAAAAGATTAATCGTAAAAAGTGGCTGTAAAAATTCATAAAAATTTAGGTAGTAAAACATGCCTAACAAATGTATGGATGAAAATAATAGTACTAGGTAAATTCTCTAAAAGATGTTGAGTTTTCCCTAATTAATTTGTCACTTAAAAAACATTAGGTAGGCATGTTATATATCAATGGAAAGGTAATTTTGTCTATTTTTCAAAACTGTATATAATTTTTGAAAATTAAAAAATTCGCGGAATACTTTTTTAAAAAAAATTAAAAAATGTTTTTTATTCAGTTTTTGCGAAGATACAAATTTTTCAAATTGCAATAAAAATTTTATTTATGAATATTTTTTGATGAAATTTTACAGTTAGGTAGATTTTTTTACTCAAAATCCAAAATTAAATAAAAATTTCGAATTTTCTTATTAGAAATCCCGGAATTCCCAAAAAAGTTTTAAAAAATCCCAAAAATGGGATTTTTTGGTTTTTTGCCTATTATATCCATACCAGGGGCG